CACTTTCTGTACTTCACTCGTTTTGTCTCTAAATTTCTCATTCTCTCTCTGTTTTTATTTTCTTTTAGCTCTCTCTCTCTCTCTCCCTTTCAGTCACACACACACACAAACACTCACACTCACGCCGCGCTGGCACACAAACACGGACACATACGCTCGCTTGCAATCACTTATTTTTCTGTACATTCTTGTATGAGATGCTTTATCACGAAGAAGAAGTGGGGTCTGAATCAGACGGTGCAGTCAAAAGTCGTGGACCACGCAACGACAAAGCGAGGGACAAGATACGCATGACAGAGCTTTCATGTAAGTTAGCCTCGATGCTTTTTATTAAAATCCTCAAACTTTTAAGGGGTGACATAAAAAAGAAAAAAAAAGAAAAGGGGATGAAAAGAGGGTGAGCATAGAAAGCAAGAAAGAAATTACGAAGGAAAATGGAAGGAAAAAAGGTTGAAAAAGAAGGGAAAATGAAAGGAAAAATATTGGAAAGAAATAATAGAAGAAATTTTCAAAGGAAGAAACAATTAAAAGAAAGTGAAAAAGCCAATTACGAAAGAAAAGGAAAAGAAAAAAGAAAAAATCAATAAAAAAGATACGAAGAAAAAATACAAAAGGTAGACCAGGGAAAAGAAAGAAAGAAAGAAAGAAAGAAAGAAAGAAAGAAAGAAAGAAAGAAAGAATGACTAGACGAATGAAAAAAGAATGAAAGTCTAAGTTGTAAACAGATAGATAGATAGATAGATAGATAGATAGATAGATAGATAGATAGATAGAAAGGTTAACAGAGAAAATAGAAAAACAAGATTTGCAAGAAAGAAAAAAGGAAGAAGACTAAAGAAAGAAAGAATGAATGAATGAAGGCTAAAGAAAGAAAGAAATAAAGAAAGAAAGGTTAGCCGAAAGAAAAGTAATGAAATGAAGGTTTCGAAAGAAAGAAAGAATGAAAGAAAGAAAGAATGAATGAATAAATGAATGAATGAATGACGACTACAAAAAGAAAGAATTAATGAACGTCAAAGAAGAAAGAAAGGTTAGCCGAAAGAAAAGAAAGAAAAATAAAAGAGTTGAAAGAAAGAAAGAAAGAAAGAAAGAAAGAAAGGTTAGTAGAAAGAAAGAAAGGTTAGTAGAAAGAAAGAAAGAAAGAAAGAAAGAAAGAAAGAAAGAAAGAAAGAAAGGTTAGTCGAAAGAAAAATAAAAGAGTTGAAAGAAAGAAAGAAAGAAAGAAAGAAAGAAAGAAAGAAAGAAAGAAAGAATTAAGGAGAAAGAAAGAAAGAAAGGTTAGTCGAAAGAAAAATAAGTGTTGCGAGAACGAAAGAAAGAAAGAAAGAAGTACAAAAACCTTGAGAAAGATACCGGATTCATGTGAAATAAAATTTAAATTGAATTTTTGAAAGATTCGAAAGCAAAAACATACGTAAAAATTAGTAAAGTATAATAAATAAAACGAATCAATAATTTGTGAACAAAAGAAGAAATAAGAAATTATAAACAAATAAATCAACAGAAAACGACAATCTATTTACCTCAAAAGAAAGAGAGAAGATCCAATGAAAGAGAGAAAAAAATCAATGAAAACCTAAGAAAAGAAAGAATAAATGAAAGAGACAAAACGATGCGACGCAGAAGCCAACGACGAAGATTAAAATATACAAGATAACAGTAATTGGAAATGATAGTTTGGAGGAAACGTTTAGAAAAGATGGCGCCTTTTTTTTCTAGATGTCGGCTGCAGAAAGACGGAAGTCATTGCAAAAATGGCAGTCATAATAGTAATAGAGACTCCAAATAAATAATGACTGCTTTCTAATAATTGTGACCATAATAAAAGGCATTGTGCTCGTTGACTTTCTTATGCGGCTATGAATAGTTACATTGAATTTATTATGATCTGACATTTCAGTTCATCTAATCGAAAGCGAGTATTTTTTTCTTTGTAGATAAACATTTAATGGCGGCTTTTTAAAGGTCAGTGATATGTTATATCCAATAATTTCAAAATCGTATCTAAATTAGTTAATAAATACACACTTGTGCAAATTAATTGAAACAACCGCTTTAGTTTCCTTTCTTTCCCCATACGGTCAGTTTTAGACCCACTGGATTGACAGTGTGCCATTGATTTCTGTTTTTCCTCAGATTAGGTCATTTACAGTGGTCTGCAGTAATATGAATCTTTTTTTACATAGATAGATAGATAGATAGATAGATAGATAGATAGATAGATTCTTGTGCAAATTAATTTAGTTTCCTTTCTTGCACCATACGCTCAGTTTTAGACCCACTGGAATGACATAGTTTTGAGATATTGTACGGCTTCGCTTGTCACTTTTCTTGTCAGACGAAAGCTCGTTATCACTTCAAAACACACACACACACACACACACACACATATATATATATATATATATATATATATATATATATATATATATCAGGTCATCCCATAAGTTCTGTCCGAATTTTGAATAAAGAAAACAAGTGACCAAATGTTACATTTAATTACAGATTCAATCAACAATGTATTTTCCCTGATTATCTATGACTTCCTTCCATCTATTAACAAAACACTAATTCCATTACTGTAAAATTCTTTTTAGGCTTTGATTCGAAGAACTCACAAATGTCAGTTTTAACCTCTTACAAAAGCTGTTTCTTCCAAATGATTCTGTAAGGTACTAAACAAATGGTAGTCTGAAGGAGCAAGATCGGGAGAATGAGGTGGATGAGGAATTTTCTCCCAACCAAGTTCTTTTTGACGTGATTCTTGCTGTTTGAGGTCGCGCATTATCCTGATGAAACATCACCTCTTTCCGATTCACTGGAGCAGGTCTTTTTTCCCTCAAAGCTTGGTTCAAACGCTCTAATTGCTGACAGTATATTTGAGCATTAATTGTTGCATTAGGTGGTAAGGATTCAAAGTGGATTATTCCTTGGTGATCCCACCAGATTGAAAGAAGAACCTTTTGCACATGAAGTTCCATTCTCGGCTGTGGCTGGGGTCCTTCCCCTTTACCAAGCCACTGTCTACGACGCTTAACATTTCGACAAAAGTTCCATTTTTTGTCGCTAGTCACAAGTCTATCCAAAAAAGGTGAAACAAGTTGGCGAGAATGGAAAGAAGAGCAGATATCAACTCAGGATTTGAGGTTGTTTTCAGACAATTGATGAGGCACCCATTTTCCAATTTTAGGAACTTTTCCAAGTTGTTGAAGATGACGATGAACAGTTGTATGGTTTGAACTGAGAACCACTGCCAATTCCTCAATTGATAAAGCAGGATTTTCTTCAAGGGCTGCTTCAAGAAGCTTTTCATCAAACTCAACTGGACGTCCGGTTCAATCTTCATCTTCAAGGATGAAATCTACACCCCTGAATTTTGCAAACCATCTTCTGCAAGTTCTTTCATTCACACATTCCTCTCCATAAACTGAGTGAATGTTTCTAGCCGCTTCGGCTGCTGAGTTTCCTTTCTTGAACTCATAAAGCATTATGTGCCTCAAATGATTCTTGGGTACTTCCATGTTAGCAGGGTTTTAATCAAACAAAATTTAATTTTATTGTTCTCTGAAATAAAATTTGATCAGTTTAAATGCATCTAAACATAAAAATAATGTTCAGCTTCATTAAACATTCTACTCATTCGGACATAACTTATGGGATGACCTAATATATATATATATATATATATATATATATATATATATATGAAATAGCTGGCTATTCTATTCGAGAATACCCGTCTACTAGGGCGGCACATTTTTGTGTTTTCTCAACACACATAGAGCCCACCCGTGGTTCATGCTGCAACTATACTGAGCAGACCTTAGTTCCAGTTTTGGGGAGAGAGCGTGTTATCTAGCGTGATCAACAATTTGGGCAGGGCCAGCACACTCAAACCCTCGGTCACGATGACTTCTGACTTCGAGCTAGCACAGCTATCGACGGCCTCCAAGGGTTCCGTCTAACCAGTTTCACTCACAAGGCTTGGGTCAACACGTTTTATGGTTTTCAGGCACTTTCCAATGGTGTCGCACCCTGGGATCGCCCCGTCCAGATCGATAACATCAGGAAGTCTCCTTCCTAACAAATCAACCGTGATGAGTTTCGAACCCGGGTCTCATGGTCAGAAAGCGAACATTCTAATCACTCGGCCACGCATACATAGATACACAGATACATACACATATATATGTCGCCATAGGAAAAATACATACATATACATAGATACATACATATACATACATAAAAATAATAGCTGGCCACTGGTATTCGAGGATACCCGTCTATTATGGCGACTAACTAATCCCTATTGCAGACACTCGCTCAGGCACATTTGTGTTTGTTCAACATCCACCTGTGGTTTATAGTGCAGCTATACTGAGCAGACATTAGTTACGCTTTCTGGGAAAGAGCGTGTTACCTAGAATGGTCAACAGAATGAACAACAGTAGCACACGCAAACCCTCGGTCACGATGACTTGTGACTTCGTGCTAGCACAGCTATCGACGGCCTTCAAGGGTTCCGTCTAACCAGTTTCACTCACCCAGCTTGGGTCAACTGTTATGGTTTTCAGGCACTTTCCAAAGGTGTCGCACGCTGGGATCGTCCCGTCCAGACCGATAAGATCAGGAAGTCTCCTTCCTGACATTCTGAGATTTGAACCCAGGTCTCATGGTCAGAAAGCGAACGTTCTAACCACTCGGCCACGCACCCATTATTTATAATATATTGTCATCCACAAATAGACAGTTTCGCAGCTCATCAGTGTGGCTAGACATCCGATTGCCTCAAGCCGGGATCGAAACCCCACTGATTTGGTATCAGTCGGAGACTCTATATACATACAACCTTTTGCATATTAATTGAAACAACCGCTTTAGTTTCCTTTCTTTCATCATACGGCCAATTTTAGACCCACTGGAGTGACAGTGTGCAATCGATTTCTATTTTTTTCTCAGATTAGGTCATTTACAGTGCTCTGCAATAATATTAATCTATTTTAGATAGATAGATAGATAGATAGATAGATAGATAGATAGATAGATAGATGAAAGAAATGAGATAGAGAGAGAGATGAAAAAACTGAAATAGATATGAAGAGACTGAGACAGACTGACAGATAGATAGATAGATAGATAGATAGATAGATAGATAGATAGATAGATAGATAGATGAAAGAAATGAGATAGAGAGAGAGATGAAAAAACTGAAATAGATATGAAGAGACTGAGACAGACTGACAGATAGATAGATAGATAGATAGATAGATAGATAGATAGATAGATAGATAGATATGAATAGACTAAGAAAGATAGATACACCCTTGTGCAAATGAATTGAAACAACCGCTTTAGTTTCTTTTCTTTCACCATACGGTCAGTTTTAGACCCACTGGAGTGACAAGGTGTAGTCTATTTCTATTTTTTCCTCGGATTACGTCATTTGAAGTGGTCTGCAGTAATATGAATCTATTTTCGATTGTGTGATAAAATATTTTGGCCTTGAAAAATATTGCATCTTCCGTGATTGCATCAGATTTTTATCACGCCCAGACACTATTGTTTCGACTGTTGATTAGTTGTCCTATGGCCACTGTCTGCAATGGAAGTTACTACAGGGAAGCGTGCGAACGTTGTAACGCTGCACAAACACACTGACAAGCCTTACCAGTGAGCAAATCAAAGTACTATAGACTGGCCAGTAAACTCTCCTGATTTAAACCCAATCGAGAATCTGTGGTCATTCTGCAAGCACCAACATTGTGGAATGGACATACGAAGTATTGAAATGTGCACTGGGTCATATTTCATTGGAAACATGCGAAATATGTAGTAAATAACAACAGGATTATTCGTTTTGTTTCAATTAATTTGCACAAGTGTGTATATACTTATATGTTTCCTTACATTGGCAATGCAGGATATTTTAAATGCGATCTTTTTTATCCTCGAATAGAAAGATACAAATTACAATTTTTTTTCGCTATTTACATTTAAGTTTTCCTACCACTGTCAAGACGAGAGAGTAAAATATTATTGTTTTTATACTAATGGTCACCCTGTGAAATACTCGAGAGCCACGTAGAGTAGAAAGCTAGTGTTAAATAGTTTATGATGAATGAATAAAATATGTGTCATCGATGAGAGAAGGGGTTGATTTGGGGGATAAGAAGGATAGACAACAATTAACCCTTTACTTTGCATTATTTACATTATTCGGACTGTTATCCTCATCTTCATTGCCATATTCACAACGTAACATAACTGTACAATATCTGTCTATATCTCTGAAATGAGGTATTATGATTACTTGCATTATTTACATTATTCGGACTGTTATCCTCATCTTCATTGCCATATTCACAACATTTCAGCCGTTGTACGCTCCAGACTTCTTCAGGTGATTGGAATTTTCGAACCGAACCCTTTATTTTGTCCACCGGGGTCGATTTTTTTAGTTTCACGTGCCGTGCCTCTTCCGTATGTCTCGGTTATTTCCCTTTAACTCCAAACTTGAGCTAAAGGGAAACTTGATTTAACTTGAACCAAAACATGAAGATTTGAGTTAAAGGGAAAATAACTGAAACATACGGAAGATGCATGGCACGTGGAACTAGAACGATTTACCCCAGTGAACGAAATAAACGGTTCAGTTCGAAATTCCATTCACCCGAAGAAAGCCGGAGCGTACAACTGACGAAACGTTGTGAATTTGACAATGAAGATGAGGATAACAGTCGGAATAATGTAAATAATACAAGTAATCATGATACGTCATCTGAGAGATCCAATCACCTGAAGAAGGCCGGGGTGCACAACGGCCGAAACGTTGTGAATATGGTAATGAAGATGAGGATAACAGTCCAAATAATGTACATAATGCAAGTAATCATAATGCCTCATTTGAGAGATCCAATCACCTGAAGAAGGCCGGAGCGTACAACGGCCGAAACTTTGTGAATATGGTAATGAAGATGAGGATAACAGTTCGAAAATGTAAATAATGCAAGTAATTAACCCTTGACTTGGATTAGATTGCAGTGTTCACGGGAGCCTGTTTCATAAAGCTCTTTGGAAAAGGCCGAGTGGCACTTCCTCCTTACAAATGAAATGCATAGGAAATGAGGGTGATTCGACTACGTATGTGTAGTATGGCGTCACCTTGTTGTAAAGATCTGGTGGAGCTAAAGAATAGAGATCGTTTGCCATGGTAATAGCGACAGAGTAACGCCAGTCTTGCAACATTGTGTCTACGGAAAAGAGGCTGCAGATTAGGAGAATAGATTTTCTCCCACAAGGCCGCGAAAAAAAAAAACTACAGTGAGGGTTGAGCTGCTCAAGCCTCGATAATGTCAACAATACACTTTTTACTATTTTTTTTTTTTTTTTTTGTCTAATCTGAAAAAGCATAGAAGAAAGAGACAGTCAACCCTCGGGGCGATAGAATAAACTGAACCTTTACCCCAACACCTTTATCAAGGGACGTATATTTGAAGTCTCCAGTCCCAATAGGATTTCAAACCAAGGAAACTAATGAATCTTATTAAATATGAAAAGAATAGGTATCGTTATAAAAGATTCTATTTCTATCGTTTATCATTTAGAAATATTTCTCTGTTTACGATCACCAATATTTTCAGTGATGCTTACATTAATTCCTGATCCAGTTCTTATATCCACTCTATATCTTTATTAGAATTAATCTTCAGTGCATTCACATAACAGATATAATAACACTATTCTAATACTTGTGTTAATTCCTGACCACTGACAATACCTTTCTTCCTCATTTTCAATACATTCCTATCGTGAAATCATTAGCAATATATTTACATTATACATATAATAGCCCTATTCTATCAGTAATGCTGGCCTTCATTCCTGACCACTGACAATCTCTTTCTTCTTGATTTGCAATGCATTCCTATAGTAAAATCATTAGCAATGCATTTACATCTTACTTATTATAAAACGCAGATTGTGTGTGTGTGTGTGTGTGTGTGTGTGTGTGTGTGTGTGTGTCGGTACGTTTATATATTGGATCGGATTTCCTACATTTTTCAACCTATTTCAACAAAACTTCACAGGACTACGTAAAATTACCTTGCGGTGGTTCTGACAGCGCCAAAAAATGGAAAAACACAATTGTTTTTGCACAAAATCAATTTGAAAACCCGATAAAACACGATTCTGTCGCCAGAATGAAAGGGGGACAACTCATATCGAGTTATACTTATTATAAAACCCAGTTTGTTTGTGTGTGTGTGTTCGTTTATATATAGGATCGGATTTCCTACATTTTTCAACTGATTTCGACAAAACTTCACTTTTTTGGGCAGGTAGTGTTTCTTATTGTCTTGCACACTTTTTTCTTTATTTTTACATTCAAAATGCTTTAAAAATTCCATTTACAAGACAATTGCTTATAATCAAATTCTATTCAATCAATAGACTCATAACGATTGAAACAATGTTTTTGTTTGAGTTTGGGTTTGACCAATTCGTAAAAAAAAAATGAAATAAAATAAAATAAATCTAATTAAGACATGCGTGTCCGTCAACCTTAAACAATAATCTTTGTCAATTTTATTTTTCAGTCTTTATGATGGTCGATACTTGATCTATCTCTTACTGTTACATCGCCGGGCAACGCCGGGCTCGACTGCTAGTTATACATATGATAGCCCTATTCTATCAGTAATGCTGGCCTTCATTCTTGACCACTGACAATCCCTTTCTTCTTGATTTGTAATGCATTCCTATAGTAAAATCATTAGCAATACATTTACATTCTACATATAATTGCCCTATTCTATCAGATTTCACTCCAAGTAATTCACTAAAGTTACTAAGACACAAGAGATTACTGAGTGTGGAAAAATTAGAAAACACAAACATTATTAGGAAGCGAAAATAACAGTAGATAGCGACTGACATTGCATTTAATTTTTCGAAGATTAAATTTGACTGGACTGTATGGAGCCATAAGAGAATTCCACAAGCGAGACGTGCGAGAAAAAACTCTTAGCATAGAACTTATGGTTACATCTAGACAACTTTCAGCCTTTTTCCTCATTAGGCGATCCAATAATTTCAAGTATCGATCCATGTTTTTTTCTGATTGCAAGACTCATTTTCCTTATAGTGCCTACTTTCCAGAAAATATCCTCATGTACTATTACTTGCGTCGAAAAAAACGTATACAAACGTTTAATTGATTAGCTTTTACGGCTTATCAACCTATTGAGTGTTATTCTAAATCCAGAAAATATTTTCAGATTGTAAGCATTTTTAGACATCATAATCATTTACTGATAAAAGTCCTACTAATTAACCCATAGCTAGGGGAGAAGAGGTGGACTCAAACGTAAAAGATTCGCCATTTTTCAGCAATACAAGCCATTCGACTGGAAGCGGTTGGTTAAATCGTGATGAGGCGGCCATATTTCTCGCTCGTTCACTTGGAATAAGTAACATGGCGATATTTGTTTAGTCCGAATATAAATCTTTTGCTTTGATTTTCTTACTACTACGTTTCTCAGGTGTGTGCCTAACCGTTCGTATCCGGGTATGCTTGCAAGGGTGGATAGAAGACGCCTGCTCACGCACATTTGTGTTCGTTCAAATACCCTCAGAGCTAACCTGTGTTTGATACTGCAACTATGCTGAGTAGACCTTAGTTTCAGTTTCTTGGACAGTGCACACAATCTGGCATGATTAAAAGTTTGAACAAGATCAGCACCCTCGGTCACGATGACTTACGACTTCGTGTTAGCGCAACCATCAACGGCTTCTGAATAGTACCCAATTTCAGTCACATGTCTTGGACCAACCCGTGATGCCTTTTTTAGGCGCTTCCCAAAGGTGTCGCATGGTGGTGTTCTTTTCCCCAGGTTGACTCACTGACGATTGTGACAGTCGAACCCGGGTCTCATGGTCGCAATGCTACGCGCTCAGGTGTACAAGCAGTATAATTTGAATTCTTTTATTCGTTCCTAACGACTATTTTGATTCTTTTTCTTTTGTTGGTTTCCAGCATTTATCTCCATTTTAAACATTCGTAAGGACCACAATGTTCTTTGCGTGGCAATTTCACTTCGATAAAGAGACTTCTCGATATGATCACTCTTGTCTTGTCTTTGTCTTCAGTCGAGGTATGCCAAAAAATTGTGGAAAACACGATTTATTCCAGAAGATTCCAGTTGCAGAGCCGCATTATAAGAATATAATCATGCCTGCAAGACAAAATACTTTTGGGGTTGGCCAATTTTTACTTTTACCCTCACGTATGTCTGTGAACTGGTTATGAGAGTAAAAATGAATAATTCTGACTTTAAGAAAATCTCATTGTATAGAAAATCTTACTTGCTTTAGCCACTCAGCAGATAGATAGATAGATAGATAGATAGATAGATAGATAGATAGATAGATAGATATGGTCAGACTTAGATAGATAGATAGATAGATAGATAGATAGATAGATAGATAGATATGGACATACTGGGAAAGAGAGATTGATGTGAACAGACTGTGATAGATAGATAGATAGATAGATAGATAGATAGATAGATAGATATGGACAGACTGGGATAGATAGATTGATGTGAACAGACTGTGATAGATAGATAGATAGATAGATAGATAGATAGATAGATAGATAGATATGGACAGACTTGGATAGATAGATTGATGTGAATAGATAGATAGATAGATATTAAGAGATTGTAATAGATAGATAGATAGATAGATAGATAGATAGATAGATAGATAGATATGAAGAGACTGTGATAGATAGATAGATAGATAGATAGATAGATAGATAGAGAGAGAGAGAGAGAGAGAGAGAGAGAGATGGACAGACTTGGATAGATAGATTGATGTGAACAGATAGATAGATAGATAGATAGATAGATAGATAGATAGATATGGACAGACTGGGAAAGAGAGATTGATGTGAACAGACTGTGAACTGATAGATAGATAGATAGATAGATAGATACATACATACATACATACATACATACATACATACATAGATAGATATTTTTCTATCTGTCATACATTAAACACTTCACTTCGTGCATCGAAAGAACGAGTTGCAGTCTCCTTGGGGCTTGACCTGAAAGAAATCTCAGATGTCTTCACAGTGGAATTTGTACTGAGCCGAAAACAACAGCCTTGGTAATTCAAAATCATGTTTGGTCCGCAAAAATGAAGAAGTAGCAATAAATATCGCGTGTCTAGTCGATCCATCCGAAATGGACGCTGTTGATTAAAGTGATTGACTCCGGCGGGAACGGTTTACGAGCCATGAATGGCAGGAAATGCCAACTTGCTACCAATCAGCAATTCTGATGGACAAATGCGGGGATGTGGGTAGACAACCCCGGTGATGTCGACATTTCGCCTGCTGATGACCCACGTGATTGGCTGACCTCAGAGGAATTGAAGAAGGACCAAAGTGAAAGTGAAAGTAGCATAGCGATGTGTATATTTGTGTGAAGAGATATGTATTCCATTTTGATGGATGTGAGACAGTTATTTATGCACACACACACACATAGACATATATATTTGTTTTGTGTGTGTGTACGTGCGTGCGTGTACAGGCATCACTTTGATTTAATACTATAGGCAAGTTTTTTTTTATTTTTTTAATAATCGTTCGTGTTTGCCTTCTTGCGAATAAATGAAGCTTGGTGTGTAAAGTATAGAAGAATTTTCGGAAACTTCGTGACGAGTATTTTGGTCTACTCATCTATACGTTTTCAAGAGTATAAGAATCTCCGACTCATGGCAAAATCGGTCGGGTTTCAGTCCCGGCTTCAAGTGAATGGATGTCTAGCCACACTGATGAGTTGTGTTACAGCGAAACAGTCTCTAGATGACTACATATATATGTGTGTGTGTGTGTGAATATATGTTTGAATATATATGTGTGTGTATGTGTGTGTGAATATATGTTTGAATATATATGTGTGTGTGTGCGCGCGCTCGCGTGTGTTTGTGTGGGTGTTTATTGAGTAATTTTTTTTTTTAAATAGCAAAAAGTCCGTTTGTGCATATAGGCATTGTCGAAATAGAGATCATTACCTCGTGACACGCATTTTCACAACTTAAACTATCATGCGTCTAAATGTTACTCCTATTTATGTAGGCTCCGTATAGATACCACTGGGTGCTTATGGGTGGGTGAGAAAGCTTCGAACGGGTTTCTCCAAATATATATATATATATATATATATATATATTGTCATCCACAGACAGACTGTTTTGCTGTATCACAGCTCATCAGTATGGCTAGACGTCCGGTTGCCGCGAGCTAAAGTGACGCCAGTTGGATATTCTGCCCCTAAGCCGTTGGCGCACGGCAGAGATAAAGGTGAATTAACTGTATTTATTTTTAAATAAACACACAGTGTCTGAGAGAACTCGATTCGCTTTACCGAAGAGTCTTGCATTATTAGCAGTAATAATCACCGTTTACAAACTCACAGTTCCTTCCCAGCGAGCTCAACCGAAATAATTTCTTTCAGGAGCATATTCTTGTTTATTCTTACTCTGTCCTGGACATCGAGTTCTACCTGGATTCTATCCTCTTGGGAGTTTATAAGTAAGATGAAAATGGACCCAAACGTGATAAAAACAAAGTTTTATCGTCAAAATGTTTAAGTTATTATTAACCAGAAATACCAAAGTATTTTTAACTATTTAATTAAAGTTTTTATCATTCCTAGCACGTTCGAAATTCTGATTAAAAATCTTGTTTTACTTGCGTCAGCGGGGGAAGAGCAACGATTAATATAGGAAATTTTAGTGATTTTTTTTTTTTAATTAAAAAGCACATTGATTTTGAAATTCTTGCAAAAATCAAATAATTGTCGGATTATAATTAAATTTTCAGGACATTTTTTTGAAAATCTTGGTTAAAATATTTATATATCTGTTACCACACCACTAACATAATTTTATAAAATTTCGAGAAATTTAAATTTGCCCCACGCTTCATATTTATATCAGTGAAAGGCAGGAGAATTTAAATTATCAATTTTTCTTTGTAAAACAGAAACACCATTTACCGAAACCCTTCTCTAAGTCGTAAAATAAAAAAATGCAATAAAGCTAAGACATTATTTATTTAAAAAACCTTTTAATTGCTTTTCTGAATAAGATATATTAAGTATATATCTTAAGAAAAATATTTTACCATGAATAATGAATTTTTACAAGAAGTGTTTAATTTTTTTTTAATTTTAATTAGAATAGTTTATTGATTTTTAAATCTTCTAATATTCTGTATTAATTTCAGCCTCTTAGGTGATATTTTTATCAAGTAAAAATTATATTTACTTATCACAAAATGGAAAAGCTAAGTACAAATCATCAAACACTCTTATTTTTAAAATAATTTAAAATACTTTTGTATATATATATATATATATATATATATATATATATATATATATATATATATATATAGAAAAGTTGCAAATTAAAAAATAATTTAAAAGTTTTTTATGAAAGTATTTATTTATATTTGATATTTCAGATCGACCTCGATCTTTCTTCAGAAATAACTGTTTTTAGAGGTTTGTTTACAAGTAGCGTCCGTCGCGAGATGCGTCACGTGATATATATACATCATATATATATACATCATATATATATGCATCATATATATATATATATACATCATATATATATATATACATTATATATATATACATCGTATATATATATACATCATATATATATATATATACATTATATATATACATCATATATATACACAACATATATATATGATGATGTATATATATATATATATATATATGATATATATATCATATATATGTATATACATATATATATACATCATATATATATATATATTTATTAAAGACATTTTTATGTTTAACGTTCTTTTTATAGATACAAATATTTAAGTAAATGCTCTGTTTATAATAAACAGTATTAAATAACATTTACCGGCCTGAATGTCCGAGAAATTTTCATTTAATATATGACGTCAAAGAACGAATATTTTCTATGAAAATTTCTCGGACATTCAGGCCGGTAAATGTTATTTAATACTGTTTATCATAAACAGAGCATTTACTTAAATACTTGTATCTATAAAAAGAACGTTGAACATAAAAATGTCTTTAATAAATAAATTGTCGGGCTTTGTCCATTTCTTAATATATATATATACTTGATGATTTTACAGATACGATTGTTCATACGCGAAATTATCAGTAAATTGAAAGCCAAAATATCAAGAATTCAACAAAACATTTGATTACAGAGAATTTTTTTCTTAATTTTTAAGATTACTGAGTACTTAAAAATTAGATATAAAAGCCATTCATGTTATATTGCTCAATTATTTTTTGCGGCTAAGGCCCCCGTAGAACAACATTAGATAAATGTTTACCTGTCAAGAAGCTGTCAACACTCGAACATCATAAATAAATATCTATTGCTGTATTAAAAAGTTAATTTCTGCGATATTTCACAATTAAAGTAAATAATATGTATTTGAAATCAAATTAATTATACTTGAAATCAGTTAGTATTCCTCAAATAAAGTATAGAAAAGAATATTTTATCTTGGGAGGATTTTTTAATAAATGGAATTACATTCTGATGGCAGGTGGCTAAAAATAGCGCTAAAATTTTTAAATCAATTTAAATTAGTTTTGTAATATAGCAAAGTATTTTGATTATTGGAAATATTAAATTTAATCTATTAGCTTGAAATTAAAACTAAAATAAATGCTTCAGGAAAGATTTTTCATTTATTAAAATACATTTTTAACTTTAGGTACAAGAATATTGTCATCTACAGACAGACTGTTTCTCTGTATCACAGCCCATCAGTGTGGCTAGACATCTGATTGCCTCAAGCCGGGATCGAAACCTGACTGATTTGGCATCAGTCGGAGATTCTACCCCCAAGCTATCAGCGCACGGTATAGGGGAAATTTTTGCGTATTTATTCTTTTGAATAAACACGCCAATGACCTAGAGAGATCAATTCATGGAAGAGCTTTGCATTGTCAGCAGTAGTACCCACTGTTTACAAATTCACGCTTTCTCACCAGGGTGCTCGACCAAAATTACATTTTTGTATGAAAACATTACTCAACTTTTAAATATCAATTTTATTCCAACATCGATGTTTCTTATCAAAATTCCCAGTCTTCAGGTGTTGTGGTTTTTCTGAAGACTGGAAATTTTACTAACAAAAATCGATGTTGGGCTGAAATTGATATTTAAAAGTTAATTAATATCATAAACGCTCTATTTTTAATATTATTTTAATATTTTTAATATTGAGCACTATATATAAAAATATCTGCTCTTTCTTAAATCTCATATATATATATATATATATATATATATATATATATATAAATCATATATATATATATATATCAGTGAGCCGTGTTCGAATTCCACTCAAGTCCATTACATTCACTTACGTGCTAATACCCTTGAGAAAGGTGTGAATCCTCTTCTTCTTCTCCCTCCAGCTATGGATAAATAGCAGGACAGACTGGGTTCTATAGCTTTGGTTGGCAACTGGCCTAGGAGAAGGAGAACACTGAATTCAAAACCTCCGGAGGGTCGTTTGGGGACCTTGTGGCACGTAGTGCACCAGGTCTCAATATTCGGCCCTTCGAAAATGTGGATGGTCCTGCACGAAACCTTCACCCCTATAGTCAAATCTCATGTGCTGTTGTCGGTCTGTCGGTTTCCTAGGAACTGATCTGCTTGATCCTCATACGTCGAATTCGACGGAAGAGTCAAGTATATATATATATATATATATATATATATATATATATATATATATATATATATGCTGTAATAAAAAATTGTCCAAATCGTGTAACAGCATTGGATATTTGTCCATCAAACACACAAATGATTGATATCTAAAAATCACTAAAATTTGGACAATTTTGCTGTTACACGATTTGAACAATTTTGTTGTTACACGATTTGGACATTTTTGCTGTTACACACGGTATATACAAAAAGATGATTGAGTTTCGTCACAGTGAAGTTGGTCAAAGTATTTCTGGAAGAAAACACTTTTAAGGCAACCAATCTTTGTAATTAACGTGGCACTGTAAAAAAATACAGCATTAATCGCAACAAATAAGGTCCCAGCTGAGATATATTATATAAACGTCAAGTGGAGGAATTGGAATTTTAATATAAACCCCACTGACGAGTGGATCCATAAAACTCCGAGTAAGGGCAAATAAGTTGGACATTTAATTTTGTTATTACACACACACACACACACACACACACACACACACACACACACACACATATATATATATATATATATATATATATATATATATATATATATTTGGTTGGATTGATATGAGTTTGTGACCCTGGGTTTCACGCTTTTGCGATCGTCAGACAAACTGATTATTTTTTTTTATTTTTGGATTTATGCACATTGCATGTATTGGTGTTATTATGGAAGCGG